TTCTTCCCTGTGGAGTTCACTGGCCAGGACTCCGCAATCCTGAGGAAGGGCACAAGGGTGTAATAGAGGCGGGATCCCGACTAGATAATACTCTAGTAGCAGAGGAAGCTCTCCGCTCCAGAGAAGTGTGTAGCTATCAGCTACAGCCAGCATCAGAGAAGTCTGCGCACCTGCCATCTCCAGAGAGGTGCGGCCAGCCAGGCCCGCCAGTGGCTAGCCAGCGGGACCAGAACCACGGCGGGAGAGTGCACGCACACCTAACCCTGGGCTACATCCAGAGTGAGTGCGCCCGGGAGCCCAGGCGCGCTCCCCACATCGCTTGCGGCCAGACTCACGCCGGGACTAGCCAGGTGTGGCGGAGACCCCAGGGTGCCTGCATACACCACGCCGGGGGTCCAGCGACCCGCCCCATAAGATGTGCTAGACAAAAATATGCATAGAATATGTACCAGGAAATAAGAGTCAAACCATGTTACTACAAAGAATCAAAGGCTTTGGAGATAAGGTCCAGTGGACAGAGTGCCTGCCTTACATGCATGAGGCCCTGGGTTCAACCCCCAGTGTAGCATAAACTGGGCAAGGTAGCACAGAACCTCTAGTCCCAGAACTTGGGAAGTGGAGAAAGGACCAGAAGTTAAAAGTTCCTCAGCTACATGGTGAGTTTCAATTTAGCCTGGGCTACAAGAGACCCTGTTCAAAGTCAGGCCAGAGAAAACACTTGAGGTGGGGGTAAAATCATAAGGCAGAAAACCAGACATCAAAGAAGCTCTTCCCTAACAATTTTATTGTGTTAAGTGGACTAGGCTTTTTAATCGGACACAATGGCATAAACAGGTTTTTAAAATTGGGCTCAATTGTATTTATAACAGGTTCACTGTAGATTTAAAGACAGGTAATAAAGGAAGTACCTATCTTGTCGGAATCCCAAGGAGGAATTTTGCAGAAATACAAAACTCCTAAAATTAAAAAAAAAAAATCTCAAGGAATCCTAATACGCACAATCTTGAGAAAGTAATAGTAGAGGTCTGACAATTCAAAGGTACAGAACTCAGTGATGTGTTAATTGGCATTACTATGCTGACCGCTCCAGCTTCTTGGATGTTAACTTTTGACAGGAAATCAAGTTTTGAAGAACTTCTATATAATTTTCCACAGTAATTGTGAAACCTAAGCCCCCCTACACACACAATGCAAAGATTACCATTTTCACACAATCAAGACAACACTATATTCCTCCTGGGAATCCTGGCATTAACATAGTTGACTTGCACTTTCTTAAATGGTTAGAGATGCTGAACACCCTCTCGTGTATTTATGTGCCATTTGTGCATCTACTCGAGTCCTATGCACTTTTTAAAAAAGTAGGCTTTTCCTTATTTTTACCCTTCTATGATAATTCCATACGTGGAGTTGAATCTTTACCAGCAGCATATAGCTCAATTTCATCACTTACCTAACCTGATAATTTACATTTTTATTAGTCTATTTAATCTGTGTCTGTGTACCCCATGGCGGCTAACAGCCGTCTTTAGTTCCACTTCCAGCGGATCTGTTGTCCTCTTAGCCTGCTGCATTTCACGACATGGGTG